TTTGTCAAACGAGACGCAACTTTAATTTCGGCTGATATTGCATTAGAGTTCATGTTGACGAAAATAAAACAGCAACAATCTGAAATTGGAAAACAATTATATGAAGCTTTGAGTCACTGAATTAAAGAGAGGAGAACACCGTTAAGCAGCTTAGTTTATTATCTTCATAATGGCCAGTTTACTTCATCAAACATGCCAGAAGTTTTTGTTCCAAATACAAGTACCCAAAATAAAAAAATTATCATAAACCTGATAAAGCCTTTAAATTCGGAAAATATAATAACAACAGCAGACTCGACTAGCGATGTTCAGTTAAACCAGGCTTTATCAAGCCACAAATGTGATAATAACTAGGGATGTACCGAAGCTTCGGCTTCGGCATGCCGAAGCTTCGGCAATTTTGCCGAAGCTCCGGTTCGGCCGAAGCCAGGTCAATTTTTTGCCAAATCTTTGGCTTCGGCAAAAAATTTTAAGTAATTAAAGTTATAAGCTACCGTTGTACAAGTTATAAAAATATGCTAATTGCCAGTGTCTAATTAAGTTGTAAATTCAGGACTACAGAGTTAAAGTTGGAGTCTATACCATATACTTAGTATTATTTACTACTATTTTAAATTCTCTGTATGTTTAATTTTTTTAAATTTTATTTAACCATAATAATAAAAATTTACAAATTTTCATCGTAAGATTACAGAAATTGGTTAGGTGTCACTTATATAGTTACAAACTAGTCAATGGAGTGACACATAAAAAACATAAAGTTCTCAACAACAAAAAAGGAAGAAAAGCAAATGAAATATAAATGAGGAGAATAAAAAAAGAAAAAAAAAAGTCAACCAAAACTATATAAACTAAAAGAAAAAGAAAAACAATGATAATAATTATCCTTGCTCTTTTATTAATATTATGAATACTTCTAAATTGAATTTATATATTAAACATATAAACTTATATTCTGGTTTCTTCTTATGATATGAAGACTTTTAAATTTTATTTAAAATAAATTAAAGGTTAAAGCTTTGATTACTTTGAGCTCTTATATTTATCATCAAAATTTATTTAAATTAAATAAACAATTTAAATCAAATAAATATCAGCCTGCTCAGTCCCTGTTTATTTATAAATATAAAGTAAAGAATAATATAATTATAAATAAAAAATTTATATAGTGTTCTATTTATTATTTTATTTAAAGCTCATTCTACTGAGTTGTTAGATTACTATAGAAGTTTTTGTCACAGATAGTTAATATTTGATTTTAGATACTGATGCAGATTTATCCATTACAGAGACAGAAGAAGAATGAATACTATAATTTCAGAGTGTAAAAGAATAATAGAAGCTTAAGAAAATGTTATGTATTGTAAAATTACAAATAATAATAAAAAAAAAAAAAAACAACTTAAAAGTGTGTAAAAAAAAAATTAGAGAGAAATCTATCAATTGTACTTTTTTTTAGCAGCAGGTTCACAACAGTTGTAGTGGAATACAAAATGGTCTTAACTTGAGTTTTTTTTAGTTTAGAAATTGTTCTTTTAATGAATACAGAGAAGTAAAAAAAAGATATTGAAATAAATAGCAATAAAAAGATAAAGTGTGTTTGTAAGATTTTTTATGTTGTAGATACAACTAGATCAGCTAAGAGTGTTTATTTAGAGAAAGAGTGTTCAAGTGTAAAAGATAAGTTTACTTGAGTAATATTCAGAGATTTTTATCCACTCTTAACAAAAGGTGCATTAAAAATAAAAATAAAATGTACAGCACATGAAAAGATGCGTAACAGTAATTTATGGGGAATAAAATTTGAGGATGTTCAGCTAGCACACGATAATTAGATAGAGCAAACAAGATGATTAAATAGAGGATTAAAAATTAGATGATTAGATAGAGGATTAAAGAGAAACGATGTTTACATAAAAGAACAGTATGGCTATAAAAGATCAAAAAAATAGCAATAATCTTAGACGAATATTGGGAATAGTTGGAAATATATGTGAGTTACTGATATTGTGCACTATATAACATTAATATGGTTTGCACACAGAAAAAGTAGAACTAGAAGTAGGAAAATTTGGGGAGAATGTTTCAAAAAAGCTTAGGTTAAAAAAAAAAAACACTTGTGCGGTGCGGTGCGGTGAAGTATCAGAAACGACATAATGAGAAACTTTCAAACAGGGGCGCTAAGAGCTTTTGCCCTGCCTGGGGCAGCAACCCTGACTTGTGTCCTCATTTTTATACATTTTTTCTATATTATTAGTCACGGATTTTAGTTTTGGAACCTTTTTTGTTTTACACCCCTGCTGATCTGAATGTTGATTAAATTTTAAGCATATATAGTGCCGAAGCTTCGGCTTCGGCAAAATTTTAGCTTCGGTACATCCCTAATAATAACATCAAAGCCATTAGCGAACAATTAAAGGAAGTTATGGAAAAAAACTAGCAACAATACGAACATCACCTATAAGGGTAGAAAGTATATCTTCTAAAGTTCAAAAAGAAATGTTGTTATTTAAAAATGGTAGCACAAAAGGCGATCACCTTCAAAAAACATATGATTATATGCTAACCATACGGCCAACAAGTGTGGAGTCTGAACAAGCATTCTCCGCCGCTGGGTTTTTATGTTCAAAAAATCGAAAACGATTAAGCGACGAAATGATTGACGCTTTGAGTTTTTTAAGGTGGTACTTTCAAAAAAATATATAACTCCTGTATGATCCTGCATTTTTATATCATTTTTTAATTATTATTTTTATTTAGGGTATTGTTTTATAATTTAAAATACTGTTACTTTGGTTCATTAATTTTTAAATGTTATCATCTTAGATAAGTTTTAATATAACAAAATTAAGTTAAAACATCAGATGTTTAAACTTAATTTTAGGTTCATTAATAAATTAAATATTTTAGTTATATTATCATTAAGTTAATCATTTTTAAGTGTTTGATGAGTACTTAAAAAGTTCTTATTATGCTTGTCTCTTTTAACAATTGCGTTTTTTTTTTATTAAATATTTTTTTACCTTCGTCTAGTTGCTTCAGTGCCGGATCAAGGGGGGTTAGAGGGGGACTATAGCCGTTTATTCGTTTACTCGTTAAAACTTAAAGTAGTTTTTAAATAATCAATTTTAAACATTTTATATTTTAAAGAATGATTTTGAGGGTTATTTAAATTGACGTGATACAAATTAAAACACTAGTTTGTAAAAGTAAAACAGGTAACATTTTACATACTCGCTTTGGTAAAACATACAGAAGAATATTTAAAAAATTCAATATATAATTAATTGTGAAAAGTTAGTTTGTAAAATATGAAACAGTTATTATTAACTTGTTATAATAATTATCACTAAAAATCACAACTAAAAACTAAAATCTTGTTTTTATTTGTGTCCCAATGATCGGACCCAATCATATTAAAACTCTAAGAACACGCCCCTAACATAACACCCTTAAAACGTTTATGATTTTTTTTTTCTTTTCATATATATTAGAATCAAAATTTATCGACAAATTTTTAATGCCATTCCAAAAAATTATGCCGTTTAAAAGTTGTGACCTTTTAAAGTTATTTTTTGGAGTTAACTGGGGAATAAAAAACTAAAAATAATAATAACTTTTTAACGAGAAGAGATTTTTGTATGAAATATTAAATGTCGATTGATTTTAACCTAATTACAAACATTATGAAAAAATTTTTTTTTTTATCGAACCATACATGGGACACAAGAACCCAAATTTTAGGTTTAATACTGTTTTCAGTCTCCGATCGTTGCAATTTTTTCTAAAACATTCTTATTTTGCAACTGAATGAATATTACCAAATTTTATGAAAGCACCATTTCTGGAAGTTATCTATCTTAAACACTGAAAATTCTGGACCAGCTTGTTTAATCCCCTTTTTATTTTTTTAGATATCGACAGAATATTTTCAAAATCTAGGTCATAACAGAACAAGGTACGGTGGTTTTAAAAATATAATCCGTTTCTAGTGTACTTTTTTCTTCGTAAGAAATATTTCCATTAGGGTGTGTGCGAGGAACTGTATTTAACGAGTGCTGAAAATTGGGTTAATTGTAGTATGTGCCATAAATGGGCATACTACTCTACTGCTGGGATTGAAGAAAAAAATGAAAATCCAAACTTTATGTGACATATGCATAAATAGTGGATAACTATATAGTTGCACGAGTTTTTCCCATGACCCCCAATGTAAATTTATTATATAATGATTTCTACAGTTATTTATCGTATTATTGCCAGCTCTTCATTCGAACTAATTTAATTATTTCATCATATTATGCTGTATTTGTCATGTTAATAATTCTTATTGTGTCAATATTTTATTAAAAAATTATTGTAATAACTTAATGCTTTTAAAGCTATTTTTAACACAATGCTTTCGAACTTTTATAACACAATGCTTTCGAACTTTTATAACAAGAGTGTTACACTATTTCTAGACATGAACTAAGAAAAACTTATGCATGCAAAGGTGAATTTATTTTGCTTTGGAAGACTAGCATTTAATTATGAACATTAACAACTTTATTTTTAAAAACTAAATAAAACTCGTTTAATTGTTCGCAAGTTATTGAATTAATTTATCTGTAAATCAAATTATATCTTAATCAGGAATTTACAGATGTTATCTTGTTACTATTGCAATATCTATAGCCAATTCCCTGACCAGACACGATAGACATTTTTTAAAGAGATTTTTTTTCTTGATAGCCACTGTTAAAAGTCAGTCTTGCTGAGGCATTTTTTGGAACTTCGGTGTTTCCTTTTTAGTTTTTTTTGGAACTTCGGTGTTTCCTTTTTAGTTTTTTTTGTTAAAAACCATTGTCTTTTATTTGTACACTAATCTTATCTTTCTATAGTCAAGTTTTATAACTTATAATAAATGTTATGTAAACTTATCAAAAAAAAAATTTTTTTTATAAAAATATTTCAAGTTATTAATTAAGAAGCAATTCCGTTAATAAATTATTTCTACATTCTCAAAAACCTTATTAAAAACTAAAAATTAATAAAAATAAATACAAATTTTAAATAACACCACTTCCAGGGATGTTACAGTGTTAATGTGATTAGCAGTGAATCCATGGAGATTTTAAAAGCCATGAAACATAAACTAATATCACTTTGTTAAGTTTAATATAAATTGATGTCAAAGATCTCAATCGATGTAAACTCGATATTACCTAAAATAGTATAAATATTTTTAATCAAATAAAATAACCAGAAAGATAAAAAAAAATAAGTCAACAATAATAAGCCAGGTTACTTAAATGATCAGTGCTTCAATTAAAAAACAAAACACAACATTTTGTTTACAAGCTTATTGTACACTCAACTAAAAGGTCATTTAGTCACTTTCTGGTAGCTGGAGTTAACCTAAAGTCTCAATCAGTCAGTTATAAGCTGATTTACTGAGACTAATAAATTAAACTAATGAAAAAAGTCAACATATTTTTTTTTTTTTTTTTTTTATTTTACTTCACCTCCTCAAGGCCGAGAAGGCCACTACAAACGAGGAGGGTACTTATTTTGTGGCTATAACCCTCTCTCAACTCTATAACTCCGAAACACGAACCTTGACGAACAAGGCCGCTGCGCGGAGAAACGAGTTGAGCGCGGTACTACCAGGGACGTGGTGGGGATCGAACTCGGAACCACTCGTTTATGAAGCGAGCGCTCTACCACTACACCACTACCGCACTAGTTTACAATTTAAATTTTATTTAAAAAGTCTCCGTTTTAAGCTCAACTTAACGGTTGAATTATATAGTCGTAAACTTTATACATTTATTTATATGTATTTATAAATTTTATTACTGATTCTTGATTGATTATTAATATGGTATTATTACTATTGGATTTGAAAGAAGTTTGCAATATTACATCAAGACTTGGTTCATTTTCTGACCTAAACCAAACATAATAGAAAAACATAATTTAAACCAAACACAATAGAAAAAATAGTGAATCATTATAGATCTATATTTTCTTTACTTCAAACAAGTGAGTGCTTACTAGTTATAAAAATTTAAGTTTATAAGCTGATAAAAAATTTTCCCTTACAAAAAAACCCAGCGAACTTCCAGCGAAAGTTCGCTGGAAATTAAAAGATCACTGGAAATTTACTAAGATTACTGGGTTTTCGCTGGATTTCCATGGAAACAAAAGACTTCGCTGGAAGTTCGCTGGAAATCCAACGAAAAACTTCCAGTGATCTTAAAGTTCGCTGGAAGTTTACTGGGTTTCTTGCGAAATATTTCGCGGTGATGTAAAAAGCGTTGCTGTTACAACTTCTGCAAGCAGTTAAAACTTGGAAAATTGATAATATAGCTTCTTAAAATAATATTTCAAATTTTTGTATAAAAGTAATCCTTTTTATTTTATTTTTTGCATCTAATAGATGATCTATAGTGTGAGTTTCAATTATTATTAGTTCTACTCAAGTTACAAAACAAAATCATCTGGTATGTTGCTCAAAATGTTTATTTCTCTTAAGTATTGTTTATTATGCATTCGCTTTATGCGAATGCATTTTATTTATTAAATTCAACTTTATTATTTTATAAAAATAATTTTTATAAATGTCTTTATGATTAAGTATTTTATATTAAAAATAATAAATAACAATCTGTTTCTCTCTCTCGCTGAAAGAGAGGGATGTATAATATATGTATCCCTCTCTCTCAGTATATATATATATATATATATATATATATATATATATATATATATATATATATATATATATATATATATATATATATATATATATATATATATATATATATATATATATATATATATATATATAAAATATGTTAGTGTATTCTACAAATAGAGTGCTCAACGTTCTTAAAGAACAGAGCAATAATAAATTAGTATATATATATATATATATATATATATATATATATATATATATATATATATATATATATATATATATATATATATATATATATATAATATGTTAGTGTATTCTACAAATAGAGTGCTCAACGTTCTTAAAGAACAGAGCAATAATAAATTAGTAAAAACACTTATCTAATTTTTATTTTCTTCTACAGCTTGTTTCTCCATCAGTAGGATCATCAGGAAGGAATCTTTCTGATGATCCAACTGATGGAGAAACAAGCTGTAGAAGAAAATAAAAATTAGATAAGTGTTTTTACTAATTTTTATATATATATATATATATATATATATATATATATATATATATATATATATATATATATATATATATATATATATATATATATATATATATATATATATATATTTGTGAAGTTGCTTTAAGTACTAATAAGCAATGTACAAAATGTTTGAAATATTTTACATTATCCTATCTTTATAAGAAATGCAGTTATTTTCATATTTTAAACATAAACAAACAGCATAAAAACATGTGTGATAACAATTGGATACATTTAGCAAGTCTTGAAGAAAATGTGCAAGCAACAATTAGACTTGTTGTTAATACTGATGGAATTCCTGTTTTTAAATTATCAAAGTGGACCTTGTGGCCTTTGCTAGCATCCATTCATAATTTTCCATATTCATTGCAAATTACTAATATTTTGTTTTTTGGTTTCTGGTCCAGTTTTAAAAAACCAAACATGCAATTATTTTTATCTTGTTTTGTTGATTTTTTAATAACCTATCCACTACTGGTATACTCTTATCTAATAATGTTCGTGTTTTTTTTCATGTATCTATTTTTTTGTGTGATACAATTGCAGGAGCTATGGTTTTTTGTTGTAGGTAGTTTAATGATTATAATGGTTGCCATTGGTGTTCTTCTCAAGGGGTAAGAGTTAAAAAAAGGTAGGAGGTCTTGTATGACTTATCCATTTTCTGATGTTAATGGGAGTTGTAGAAACCATACAGATTTTTTTTGGATAAATGTGATTAAAGGGTTTTTAGATTTTTCTACATTTGTAAGAGTACTTAATTTTAATTGTGAAAATGGAACAGTTGTTAATAATCTGCACTGTATTGAGCTTGGTGTTATGAAAGCTATGTTTTCTTTCTGATTTGATAGTTATTATTCTGGTTATATTTTTTCTATTAGAAGACACTGTACTGTTGTAAATAATCTTTTATCTGCAATCAGTGTGCCAAGCAATATAAGACAGACTCGATGATCATTAAGTTGTATAAAGCATTGGAAAGGTATTGAGTTTTTTACTTTTTTAGTTTTTTATGGTCCTGTTATTTTATGTGATGTTTTGCCTCCTCAGTTTTTTGACCATTTTACTCTTTTATCTAATATTGTTTTTACGTTGAACAATAAGGTATTATCTGAAAGTGTAATTAATGAAGCCACATTATTAGTTAATAGATTTTTTTATGAGTTTTCTGATTTGTATGGTAAAGAAAATATGTTTTATATTAAAGAGTTATTTTAAAGCAGTTATATATATACAGAGCTTTTTTTAAAGCAGGTATTATATTTTAATGCAGTTTTTATTTAAGTAAACTAAAATCTTTCTCTCTCTCTCTATATATATATATATATATTATGTATGTATATATATATATATATATATATATATATATATATATATATATATATATATATATAAATTTTATACAGTATTTATTATATGTTTTTATAAAATTGTTATTGATGTCCTTTAAATATTGTATAAACCATCTTTTTTTTTTTAGCTTTAAAGACCCAAACGAAAATACTTTTAAAGTCAATTTTCGCAATTCTGTTCGTTTTGTTGTGCTAATTTGTCAGTAGAGAACCAACAGACCACTGACTTCATAATTTTTCCATCTAAAATTATACTAAAATATCCTAATAAATACAATTTGAATTAGATGATATAAGTTATCAGAGAAAGTAAACAAAGTACACTTATTCGGAATAAAAAATGTAACTACTGCCATTTGGTTCTCGACTTTTTTGAAATGGGCTAAAAAACATGCTTAAGCATCATATTGCCTGTAAGATATACTTACTGCAATATTTTTCTTTTTCACTAATATACAGGTTTAAGTTTTGCTTTATAATGACTATTATGTTTTTTACAGATTTAAATATCTATATCAGTACAGAAAAGTAGAGCTGTATGATTTTTTGTTTTGTTGATTTAAACAGTTGAAAATTTAAAAAAAAATTAGTTTAAAAATTGTAAAGTTCCTTACAAAAACAAACAACAGAAAACTTCCAGTGAAAGTTTGCTGGGTTTTTAAATTAAAATTATTTAGTTATTATAATAATTGATTATATATATATATATATATATATATATATATATATATATATATATATATATATATATATATATATATATATATATATATATATATATATATAATTAAGTTTTTATTATTTTATCTATAATTATTATTTTTATGCAGGATAAAAGTGATAAAATGCTATTGGTTGGAAATTGATAAATTAATAAAAAATGATTGATTCTAATTGCGCGAAAATATGTTGGTATGTTTTTATCTATCTTATACTGTTTTATTTTTGCTTATCATTTCACATTTTGTCTTATTTTGAATATTATGTTTTATATAATTATTAGTTAGTGTTTGTAAAACACTAACTAATTTTGATTGCTTTTAGATTTTGGATACTGCCTCTACCATTAACAAATTAAAAATAAAAGAAGCACTTCATATTAAATGGGAAAATCCTAAATATAAATTTATCTAACTAACTTACTACATTATTATTGTTATTTTAATATTAGGAGGTTTATTTTGTCATAATTTGTAATAAAATTTTTAATTGATTTGTAGCAAGTTTATTTGTCCATTAATTTTTTCTCTGTATTGTCTTCAGTTTTTAAATTTATTTACCAGAATATATATATATATATATATATATATATATATATATATATATATATATATATATATATATATATATATATATATATATATATATATATATATATATATATATATATATATATATATATATATATATATATATATATATATTATATATATATATTAGTAGAAAGTCACTTAATAGAAAATTTTTTAAAAGTTTTTGATGTAACAGTGTAAAATGAAAAAAAATTTTTGTTAAGTAATTTTCTACTTATTTATAATTGCTCTGTTCTTTTAAGAACATTGAGCACTCTATTTTGTAGAATACATTTTGAATATTGTTTAAATATATATATATATATATATATATATATATATATATGTTCTTTATTTATTGTATGCATTCTTTTTTTTTTTTTTTTCTTTTTTTTTTTAGCTCTAAAGACCCAAACCGAAAAGAATGCCTAAAGTGGTTTTCAAAAGATGAATTGACGAATTTCTTAATTCTTTTTGTTTCGTTGTGATAATTTGTCGTATGAGAACGCTAACGAGAAAAAACTTCTTAAATATAGAAACATGCGTAATATAAAGTTTACTTATGCCTATAAAAAAATATGTTTTACATTAATTAATAAATTAACTTTTTAGTTTCTTGTTAAAAATTGTATTCTGTATTGAAGTTTATTTCTGAGAATTTGTAATTATACCTAAGATAATCTAATCCTACATTGTATTTTAATTTATAAAACTCGATATTTTAAAATAAATATATTACTTTTTTATCGCGCTTAACTTCTCTTATTTCGCGTTTATTGGTTAAAAAATTTAAAAATGTTTATAAACTTTTGAAACTTTTATAGCAAAAATAAAAAATCTTTTTTAAAAAAACTTCCAGCGAATCTATTTTTATACATAAACATGAAAATTCGCTAGAAAAGTTCACTGGAAGTTCGCTGGGTTTTGGAACAAGTTCGCTGGAAATTTCCAGCGAACTTCCAGTGATCTTTAAAGATCACTGGAAAAGTTCGCTGGAAGTTCGCTGGGTTTTGGAACAAGTTCGCTGGAAATTTCCAGTGAACTTTAGAGATCACTGGAAAAGATCACTGGAAGTTCGCTGGGTTTTGGAACATTTTTTCACTGGAAGTTCGCTGGGTTTTTTTGTAAGGGTTAGTTTATAAGCTGATAAAAAGTTTATAAGTTGATAACAAAAAATTTAAGTTTATAAGCTGATAACAAAAAATTTAAATTTATAAGCTAATAACAATATCAAGTTAGAAATTTACTTCAGAAAGACAAAATGTTGTGTTTTGTTTTTTAAAAATTTTTCAAAATGTTGTGTTTTGTTTTTTACTTCAGAAAAATTGAATAAAAAAAAAAATTATTTTATAATAGTTTAACAAAATTGCAAAAATTTTTATTTGCCAATTGAATAGTAAAATTATCATGATTTGTATATTCAATATTTAAACTAGAAGTGTGCAAGGTTTTCGAACACGAATCTGAATATCCGTATTATGACGGTTTTTTTCTGGATGCCCAGAACCTGCCATTTTTTTTTTTTGCAATACCGAACAATAGGTAGCTTAATTTATATTTTAGACAAAGCCAAAAATATCAAGTGTACCCACATACAACATCAATATACACTTATATACTATATTACATTCAACATCATTTTACCTTTCAATATCATATTACATTCAATATCATTTTACCTACATACAATATCAAAATATGCCTTAAAGTATACTCTAACTAATTAACTAAATAATACTCTAACTAATTGTTTCTAGTTGTTTATATTTAAATTATATAGATTTAAATTATTTATAGTTATCTTTGGATATCTAGAGCCTTATTGGTAACTTTAAAACTTGGTAAGTTTATAAATATTTATATTTCATATTTATATTTTAGTTTTAAATATTTCTGTTTAAATTTATTTAAATTATTGTTCTTTATTACGTTTTTTTTTTTTTTTTTCAGTACTACATGTGTGCAAGCACAAATAATGTGATTGCTGTTAAAATCTTACTGAGCTTCAGTAGTGGCTAACCATATGCACAACAAGGCATGCAAAAATGTTTTATTGCGCTTTACACAATAAAGTATTTTTATGTAAAACTAAGAAAAGCTATTGACTTTTAAAAAAAAATGTTTACAAAGTTATCAATTAAAATTTTGAGAAATTAACGAAAACTTGTCAAAGTAAATATTAGCAAAAAGAAATCCATCCTGCAGCTTTCCCTTGAAATAATTAAGAAAGGTTGTGCTAGAGCTCTATAGAAAGTTTACTTCCTAAACCTTTTTGTAGTTCCGAGAGTTACCTTCAACAAGGCAATGGAATCGCCTTATGTCAAGACCTAATCTCCCTGAAAGTCCTGAAGATATATAATCTATGATAAAACTTTCAAAAGAAATATTTCTTTCTAAAGGTAACCATTAAAATGAACGATTAGAAAAAAATAAAATACTTTCACTTTCAATTTTGAAAACTAGAGAAACCAGAGGATTCAAGAAAACTTAGAAATACTATGAAAATCTAAAAAAAATTTAAAGAGTATATATTATAATAAAAAAACAACCTTTTTAGATCCATTCTTTCGGCTCCTTTAAAACTTTGATAAGTTTAGCTTCTTCATCTCCGTGTTCTAATTCAGGGCAATATTCCCATTTTGCTATTAGAGGCATAGAGACAAGAATACTTTCTATTCTGGCACCAGGTGTAGCTAAACCAAATTGAGTTCCACGATCATAGACAAGATTGAACTCCACATACCTTTACAAAATTGACATTTCAAAATATTATATTCTAAGGAATGCCAAAAAATTATATTTTATGGAAATATTAAATTCTATGGAATATTAAATTCGATGGAATATTAATTTCTATGGAATTTTAAATTCTATGGAATGCATTAAAAAAAATTATAAATTTAAAAGTAAAAATAACTTTTACAAAAACAAAAACAAAACAAATTAAAATTACTTTTCAAATTTATGTCATTTTTGCATGAAAAATTATCTAGTATAACAAACTTTGTTTATATTAATCTGACAATAAAATATATAGAGCAATGAAGGCAACAATAACAAATCAATCAAAGCTCTAGATGTTTGTAAATCAAAATAGATAAATGATTTCTAAAAAATAGTAAATGACGCCGTTTTATAGTTGACTATAAAACGTCGCATTTGATAAAATATAGTCGGGGCCGGGTTTGTGACCAGGCTGCATAAACACTTTATACATTCTAAAGTTTCTTTTTAATTAAAAATTCATGTTATATTTTGTATATATATACATATATAAACATCATTATGATCAATATGATCAATATGATCATCATAATCATCATCATCATCATTGTCATCATCATCATCATCATCCTCATCATCTTCTCTTTCAGCAAATACTACACCATATAAATACTAAAGTTTATATAAAAATGAAATGATATTGCATGCCAGCATCTAAATAAGCAAACATATAAGTTTATATCCATAATATGTATGCATAAAGCATATCTCAGAAGTTTTTATTCCTTCTGGACTAAAAGTTTGAAAGCTTTTATTCCTACTCTTCAATTTCAAGTCAAACCTCATTCTACTCTATATTTTTCACTATCTTGAGCATCTGATGTTAAGCTCTGTTATTCTTAGTTTACTAAATCTTCTATCTTATATCAGATGTTAGGTTCTAGAGACTTTTGGTTAGTCTTCATCAATGTCATTAACTAAAGTAAGTCTAACATTTAATCAGTAAATGTAAGCATAAAATTATAATATATAAAGTATTATTAATTTTTTTCTAGCCCCGGCTATCAACCCCTGCTAAATCTAATAGTTTAGCCGGGGTCGGGTTTGAAAAAAATCTCGTTTTTAGCTGCGGCCGGGGCCCCAGTCACTAAAAAACTACTAAAAAATAATTACACATGTAATCAAGGTTTGAGTGAATTTTAAAAAAGTGAAAAAAAAAATTATTTTATTTGTGCACCTTCCTCTTCTCATCAACTGCCAATCGCGATGCCTTGAAGAAAAAGGTTTATCTTTATGCTCTTCTATAAGTGGAACATATGAAGGTAAAACTGAATTACCACACGAAACTACAAAAGCAAAGCAGTCATCGATTGATCCTTCATCAAAATCATCAAAAAAAGTACCACCAACTCCTCTGGCTTCACCTTAACATCAAAAAAAAAAAAAATTATTGTTATAATTTGAATTTTTTTATATTTGAAATAAAAACCACCCGCATAAAACTAAATCAAACCTCTATGCTTGTTAAAAAAGTAATCGTCAGCCCATTTTTTGAACTTCGGATAATATAAACTATTATGCTTATCACAAGCCATTTTTAGTGTTTTGTGAAAATGTGATGCATCCTAAAACACAGTAAGCATTTGTATTGTTATGTTACATCACAAGGTATACACTAAACAATAGATCAAGTTTACAATATTAAAATAAATATAAAAGAATAAATAAAATTTCATTTATTTTTTTAAATTTCTAGAAACAACTACTACTACTTTTGTTTTGAATATATAAAAATTATTAGGATTAGATTATTTTAAAATATATCTAATATTTAACGTTTTTTCCACTAAAGTTATCATCGGCAGGGTGAGAGCTTTACCTCTTGCTCTCATAACCTGCACACCTAAAGCGGTTTACAGGAGCAATTTACAGATATATAAATATAATTTTTTCTTGAGTATAAATCACTTTCTTTTCATATCTAAATTTAGATATTGATTAGAAAAATCATTAACTCTGGTTCAAACTACATCATATAAATATAATAAAGCAAAAACATTTGCTAAAAACATAATCTTTTTGTACTAAAAAGCAGAAAATAAACTTTTTAATTTAAATTTAATAGTTCCATAAACTAAAGATTGACAGATCTGAGCAAGGTTTATTTAGAAAATACCTGTCAATCTTTAGTTTACAGAACTATTAAATTTAAATTAAAAAGTTTATTTTCTACTTTTTAGTACAAAAAGATTATGTTTTTAGCAAATGCTTTTGCTATATTTTATTTTCTACTTTTTAGTCTTTACAGAAAGTTACGATATTTAGCGGTGCGTTTGTTTTTACATTTGTAATTAAGTCCAGCTTTTTCTCCTAAAGAAACGGAGTATTTGCTGATTAAAGGAGCGGAATATTTTTCTTTTAAAAGATAAAAGTTTCTTATATAAAAGTAAAATAACATAAAGTACAAATATTTCATTTGCATTGCAGCCCGTGTCCTCCCACAGATGTATTACATTTTTATATTAATATTAAACAAAGTTAACATAACTTTGTAAGTTACTTTTTCAATTTTATTAAAAAAATAATTTTTCAAAAAAAAAAGAATAAAAAAAAAAAAATAAAAAAAAATTACAAATCCCCAAGCAATATTAGCCTATTTTAGAAATGAAAAGATTTGTTAAGAAATTATTATGACTATTCTAAACAAACCCGCTAGCAATTTTCTGGTAAATCTTTGTATAAAATGTTAGTTTTTAGCGGGCAATAAAGACAATAAAGAAGGTTGAGTAAAAGATCATATTAAGTGAAAGAAAAGATTACAAAATATTAATTTTTTAGCAAATGTTTTTGCTATATTTTTTTTTCTAGTTTTTGGTCTTTATAGAGAGTCACGGTATTTAGCTATGTCAAGACATTTGAAATGGTGTAAGTACGAACTGGCATATATGCAAATTGGCATAAGCAGTTACAAAACTGGCACAAAGCGAACTGGCATAAGTGAGCCAAAAGAATTTGCAAACATTGGCATAAGTGCTCCAAATAAAATTGCAAATACTGGCATAACGCAAATTGTTATTTTGCTCTTATGCCAATTCGCACTGACGCCAGTTCGCACTGACGACAAAGAAAGTTGAGGAAGAGCTCATATTAAGTGAAAGAGCTCATGTTAAGTGAAAGAGCTCATGTTAAGTGAAAGAGCTCATGTTAAGTGAAAGAGCTCATGTTAAGTGAAAGAGCTCATGTTAAGTGAAAGAGCTCATGTTAAGTGAAAGAGCTCATGTTAAGTGAAAGAGCTCATGTTAAGTGAAAGAAAAGATTATAAAAAGACTCAAGTTTCGGATTGACATTTTTGCTTACAAAATAATAATTTTTTTGTGTAACAGTCACTTATTTTTTTTAAGTATAATACTTAAGATTATATTTTAACTAGATATACAAATGGCTAACAACTTATTGACTTAATAACATAAGTTATTCTATAGTACAATAAAGTAAAGCAGAATTTTAGAATTATAAATGCAAATATAAATACTACATGTTATTACAACTTTTAAATAGAATTAGTAATATAATATAAAGGTATAATAGTATTAGTAAAAAAAAAAAATTTTTTTCTTTTTAATTTGAATACAGATATGCAGTGCAGAGAGATTATTTTTCTTAAAATTCTGGGTGTGAAATATCACTAAAACATTAATGACAATATAGTCAGCAAAATTGTTTATAAAGACAAGTATTATCATTGTATCCAAGAAGGCAAAACGCACAACAGTCAATTTTGAAAAAACGAATAAATAAACTACAAGCATGATTATTGCAAAAAAAAAAAGTAAATAAATAAATTAACAATAGTAATAAAAAAGAGAGCCAATTGAAATAAAAATGTTTTTAATTAGATTGGACTAGCTATATGGTTTTAAAAAATTGATAACATTCTGCCATAAATTTTTTTCTTAGTCAATGGTATGTTCATGGAGCTAATACTTAAAATTCAATTTATAAAATTTTTCCAGAAAAAGTATAAGATTCATTTTGCACTTTTTAATACATGCTCAAAGTAATTTTTAATATAAAGACGCACTAAATTATGAGGTAAAAAATTTTATATTAATAAATTATACATTATATATAAATAAACTATATAAATCTCAATTTAAAGAAAGCAAAAAAGTATAATGCACAACTAAATGTTTTGCTAAAAAAAATTAATTATATGACACTCTTATTGTGGAACCTTTATTTGTTTTAATAATTCTTAAACTATCTGCTTTATAACTAGATCAACTACAAGCAGTAAAAACTTTTATAGTTTTTTGTTTATTAAAGTTTCTATTGAATAAGTAAAGTTATTGATGAATAAAATGAATAGCTAGTGCGAATAGTGTGATAACCCAAAGTAAAAGCTTGTTTAAATAATTTTCTTATAAACAGTTTCATAAGTTTTCACAGCACAATAAAAGTTGCTTGTTATGCATTTGTGACATAAAGGTTAAAAGCATATACTTGTAATGAATTTAAAATCAAATTTTGTATCTAATAAGAAATTTTTTTATGAATAAACAGACACCTTGCGCAAAAACCCAAAAACTCTCGTAAAAAACTGTTTAGAGGAGCAGCTCGCTTGGCTCACCATGTTCTTTTTTAGGAGAAAAACTCTAAAAACATTTTTTTTAACAATAAACATTTGTTCTTTTACTGTTATCAATTGTCAAATTTTTAAGAAATAATAACTATAATATATCTAGATTACAATATAATAAAAACAACAAGGGTTGAATTAAGCAATTGCAAACTGTGATATCTGGGAAAATATCTGGACTTTTAGGTAATGCAACTTTAGTTAATGCAAAACTGTGTAGTTTGTTTTTCTAATGGTCTAGAAAAATGTGCATTAATTTTTAAATCAGCCAATAAAAAATTTTTATTGGTTGATTTTAAAAATTACAGCGTGTGTTCTTTGAACTATTAGTAACAGTTAAAAAATGCTAAACTGTTTATAAAACTATGTATTTGTGAAAGTTCATTAAGTTTTTTATATTATCTTAATATCCATTCTATTTTTTCTAGATGCATTTCTACTTCAATCAAATATTTTGATAACTTAAACCATTTTCTATTTATAATACCTTGATTAAGTGTTGTTTGAACAAACAACAAATTATTTAAGTTATAAGTGTGTTATAAAAGTAATAGCACAACTATTGCGTAATTACTTTTACAACACAACTACTATAGAGTTGTTACTTTTATAGTGGTAAGTTTATTATTTCTTTTTTTTTCCGTTAATAAATTTTAGTTCATTCACCCTATGAAAACAAAGTAAACAGTTTTGCATAAGCTAAAATATAAAGACCAGATAATTTTCTAGTAAAATAGTATTGGCCTAAACAAAATTGTGTATGTGTTAATTTGTTAAAATTAACAACCTAAATAGTAAACTGTATCATATGCTAAAACTAGTGGTTTATAATTCCTGGTAATATTTATAATTGATACTTTAGACAACCTTTTTTTAAATTCTATTTCTACATAATACCTACCTGAATATAAATATCTATTCAAACGTCTATGTATGTATTATATCAATGAAGTCAGAACATAATCCTAAATTTATTTTTCTTTAGCAGAGCTCCATAAGAAATATTTTTAGCAGAGTTGCATGAAGATATACTAAAAAATCAATTAACAACTTTACTAAAACATCTTTACTAAACAACTTTACTAAATCATCATACTAAAAATATTTTATTTAGTATAATAGATAACTTAATTAATTTTTTACATATTATACATTTTGTATTATACATTTTAAAAAATACATTTTTTTGAAAAAGTAAATTCTTTTTGTACATTTTTTGCTCAAAATTCATTTTATACCTGTTCAAAGTCAATTATATTAACATAATATTCAGTGGGCACAGGACATAAAAGGAGGTCTTATAAATGTCTTTTGAACGTTCTAAAGATGTCTTTTTTGTCTCGTACCCACTGGGTAGAATAAGAACTAGAAATAATAACATATAGAAAATAAAAATGTATATTCACTCAAAACATTTTTCTTTTTAAATGTAATATGCGGTGGTAGAGTAGTAGTGATAGTAAGGAGTGAGCCAAAATATCCGAATAGCTAGATATCCTAATATCTGGTCTGATAATTAAAAAACTTGGATATCTGATCCGAATCCGAAAAAGCAAATCAGCTATCCAATCCTTTTTTTTTTCTATTAACTCAGATATGGATTTGAATCAAAAAATCAGATATCCAGTTCTAATTTAGATTTTTAAACTTATTAGAAAAACAAGAATTTTATAAGTAACTAAAAAGAATGTAAATATTCTTAATCATAACAGAATTAAATGTTCAACATTGAATGAAGTGATTTGATGGAATGAATGAACAACAATGAATAACTTTAAAGTTATTTAATTCATCTTTTGTTTGATTTTTTTTTTGAATTAAAATTTCTTTAATATATTTTATTGTTAATAATATGATTTCCTTTAAAAACAAATACACTATTTAGTAAATAAAATATTTATTTTATTTAAATGATCATTTTTATAATAATTATAGAATATAGGATATTAAAACTTTTGTTCATGCTAATGTGTTTCTAAAACACTTGAACATGATACTGACACAAAAGACAAAAAAAAAAAAAAAATGCAGAAAATAAATGGAAATTTTTAAAATGTTGACGCAAAATAAACTTACAAAGTTAAGTTTGTAAATAGACCTATTTACAGACATGTTCTTTAAAATATATACTTTAAAACAATGGAATAATGTTTATATATATATATATATATATATATATATATATATATATATATATATATATATATATATATATATATATATATATATATATATATATATATATATATATATATATATATATATATGTTTAATTAATTTGGTATTAATGAATTAGACTCTACACAGCCTGCATATAATAAGTTTAGAAGGATGATATGATAAGATCTAGACACAAATCACCATCTCAAAGCATAAAATTATTGTTAAGAAGAAAATACAGATTATCATGACTTACTGTTGTAAGAACTGTTATAATAATCATTATAACTGTTTAATAATTTATATAACTTAATAACTACAATAACAATTATTAATATAACTAATAATAACAATAATAACTATTATTATAACAGTTATAATAGTATTATTTATATAACTAATAATAACAATAATAATTTTTTTAACAATAATAATTATTTATATAACTAATAATAACAATAATAATTATTATTATAACAGTTATGATAGTAGTACTGTTATAAAAATTATTATTGTTATTATTATTATAACAACAATTTATCATCATTAATTTGAAAAATAACCTTTTCATTCAAGTAATTTGGTGTCAAATCCATGCCTCCACCAAACCACCATGTATGATGTCCATTTTCATTGACTACTTCAAAGTAACGATAATTAAAGTGTAAACTTGGGATGAATGGATTACATGGATGAATAACGCTACTTATACCTGCAGGAAACAAATTTTGTTTTATTAATTTGTTAAATAATATAAAAAAATTTAATTTTTATTGATTTCTATTTCTTATAACTGACTTTCACAAAAGTTTTGTTTTAGTTTATTCAATAGAACAAACAAGATCTACTCATGCTTGTCCTATTGAGTAAAGAGTTATACAAAATAGCACAAAACAGTCAACTATTAGCAATCATTAGCTAGTTTGTAACTTTTGTAGTTAACAAATAGTCAACTATTAGCAGCGAAGAAAAAAACAATACTGTAGTAATTATATTAGACGTTGATTAATATCAAGTTTCTTTTATAAGATTTTATTATCATCTAGTCTCCATATTTTGAATACACAGACTATTCTTTTATGTGCTTTTGTTTAGCACCACTTCACTCTATCACCTTTTTTTTTCTTCTACATTGCTCCAGAGACTTCTGATCTCTTCTGGTCAGTGTCTATAAAAAAGGCAAATTTATTATTCCACCTATCTTGAATGGTTCAGATTTTGTTACCATACCTAAAGACAAAGCTAAATTGTTTGCTAAGAACTTTTCATCAACCTTATCTCTTGATTCCACAAATCACATCCTACCTGATATAGCCAACAAATTAATCCATTGCTTGACATTTGTACTGATCCAGCTTCTGCATCAAAAGTGATTTCCTGCTTAGGTTTTTCTACAGCTTGTGTCCGGACAACACATCTGTTATAGTCTCGAAGAGTTCTCCGGTGTTGTCGCCTATACTATACAGAAGTGTTCTCTAGAGCTGTGACCTATACAAAACTAATGAACAATTGCTTATCAAATTCTTTTTTTCCAGCCTACTGGAAAGCAGCACCTGTTATCCTTATTTTCTAAGATTCTTGAGAGTGTGATCTAACTCATTTAACTACCATCCCATTAGTCTTCTTCCTATCATAAGCAATTTTTTTGAGTCTTTAATTAACAAACACTTAGCCTCTCATTTTGAATCTAAAAACTTACTGATCATCAATATGGATTTCGATCTTCTCGCTCTACTGCTGATTTGTTAACAGTAACAACTGATAGTTTTATGGTGCATTAGATAGATGTGGAGAGGTTAAGGCTATCGCTCTTGACATTTTTAAAGTCTTTGATAAAGTTTGTCAAGCTGGTCTTATCTATTGAATCCTTCCTTACCAATCATAATTTGTCCTTAATGGGTGATGATGATAATTAATTGTAATTTAGCAAACTTAGCAGATGCAAAATTAGCATCTGCTAATGTTGCATTTCTTATCATGCTCGCCACTTTTTTATTAACGATTCTATTATTAATCTTTACAAATCTCAAAATTGTCCTAGTATGGAATACTGTTGCTATATCTGAAGCGGATCTTCGAATGATGCCCTTTCTCATTAAGACAAGGTGCACTGTAAACATAGTTGGACCTGCGTTGGAGGTACAGATTTCCTATTTTATGGAATAATTTGGACACATGTTGGAGTTATACATTTCTTATTTTATGGAAGCTCTCACTGGAGAGAAAACAAAAGGGGCCCAGGAGAGCACTATATAAAAGATTGCAGAAAGCCTGGCGTCGAGCAAGAGGTGGACAAGATGGAGATCATCAGGTTTAATTGGAATGAGCTTAAGTTTGGATCACCCCTGTACAATATTTCAAGAGAGCCCTTAAAGTTTTTCAAAAATTCATTGACTACAAAAACATTTAACAGGGGGGACTACAAGAATCTCTGGGAGCTAATTGTCTTCTATTTAATAAGAGATATACGAGGGTTTCATTTCTATCAACCTGGAGCCTGTCATGAAGCCAGGTATAGATAAAATATATCATCAATAATTTTTATTTTTAGTGGAGAGTAGATTTTTCATAATGATAATTTTATTTATAAGGTTCATGGCAGATGCTCTATTCCTACTGAGCCTGAGGATGACTGAGGAGGTAGCCCATGTAATGAATGAAGAAGAAAAGAAGATGGTAAAGACAGCAGCATTGTTTGTTTCTATATAGTAATAGTAATAGTAATATATATTTCTGCATAAATAATATTTCACAAAGCATTTATAAATATAAATTTATAACTAACTGTGCAGCCCACCAACAGTAGATGGCACTATAGCAGCCCGAGCTTAGCCTGTCAAATAAAAACTTAAATTTATAGACTGATTTTGATTTTTTAATGTTATTTGGTAGATTGTTCCACTCCTTAACAATTCTATTTTTAAAAAAATTATGCATAATGCCTGAGTTTTTGATATAGGCTTCTAAAAAAAAGGGTCTACACTATGGAACCTGTTTTTTAAAAGCCTATATGACAAAATAGTTAATTTCAAATGACTTGGCTGCTTTTAAGTCATCATTTGAATTAAGAAACTATTACCTAAAACTAGGACAAGCTCTTCTTGTCAGCATGCAGCTGGATACATGGTACTTAACAGAACAGTTAGTTATACTGGCTCTAGTTAAAAATGATGTTAGCATAAAGCTAAAGGAAAAGATATTGGAGGTAATGATCATGTGTGATGTTCCTATGCAGTTTCATATGAGGAAACCAAAGCTATCAGGTATTACAAGTAGGGTTTGGACAAAAACCGACTTTTTGAAAAACTGGTTTTTCGAATTCTAAATTGCCAAAAAAAAACGGTTTTCAAAAATTTTTTTAATAAAAATTGAACAACAAGAAATACTTAATTTGTATATTATATTTATTTCACTTATGATAATATTTCCTAAGGAAATTGGATTTAAAAAAACATAAAAAACATATGTCCACTGAACGGTGGCTAAGCCTTGTTCTAATTTTGATCACAAAATTGCCTGCAATTGAAAATACGTGTTCACTAGGTACTGAGCTCAGTTTTATAATTTTAAGTGCATCAAATCTTTGTTCTTTTATGCCTTAAATTTAACTCTTTTCCTTTTTTTATTTTGATATAATTTTGAAGAACGGTATTTCTTACTGGAGATTTGCGAAAAAATTGATTTATGAAACTGAACGTTTGCAATTGTCAGGCAAAATAGGAATAGTATGCTCTTGGTTACAAACAAAAGAAAGAGGATCTTCATATTCGTCTTCATCTTCATTATCCGATTCCTCACTTAAAACATTTACTTCAGATTCAGCTTCAACCATTTCTTTCTGTTTATACAATCATCAGTAACTGCTAAGTGGATTGCATGTGAATAGCTGATTAACTATACATGATAATTTGCCAAACTTTATCATAACAGCAGTACCATTATTTGTTGCAGCAACAATATCAGTTTCTAAATTATAGTTGAATTTTTTAAGTCTTCCAGATATCAAATTCTAATAAGAGCTGTACTGGATTTCGGCTCTGGCTTCTGCTCTGACCGAAATCTGGCCATTTTACAAATCCGGTCCATATCTGGTTCCGGCAAAAAGTTAGCAAATCCGGCAAAATTTTAGCCGGATTTCTGAATTTCGGTCAGATATTTTTTACAACGTTTTTGCCAGTGTTTGCATGTATACTTAATATTTTATTTATACAAATCAATGTTTTTTGTAATTCTATATTCTATGAACTCCGTGTTTGTAATGGTATCTATTTACATTTCTTTACAATTTAATTAGCTAAGCCTAATTTCAAACATTAACTCAACAAAAATTTTGAATTGAAGACACCCGATAGAGTCTGAAGTGAAAATACAAATGTGGTTAAATATGTTATACTATGTTATGTAAAATTGTGTCCTTCTATTTTAATGATAACAATGAAGTTTAACAGAAAATATTTGTCACTTGGTATTGAGAATGGTAAACATTCTTGACCATTCTTTATATCAAGTAGGGATGTACAGGATTTCGGCTCCTGTAATTTTATTTTAAAATCCGGCTCTGGCTCCTGCTGAATTTGTCAGTAAAAATTCAGCAAATCCGGTTCCAGACTGTGCGGAAAGGAATATTAGACTGATTCAGAACTATGTTAGAGGCTACAGGTCTGATAACATGAAACCAAAATTTATGCTCATTGCCAGAGACAGCAGAAAAAACTAAAGAAGAACTTAATAAAAAGCAACTCAAAAATGTTAAATTTTTTTAACAGGAAATATATATTTTAAAGAGAGTTCCTAAAATAAGTGTCTTTTTCCTAAAAAACGCATTTTTTAAAAAAAATATAGTTTTACATATATATATACTTTTAAATAAACTAAAATGCTTTTTTAGTATTTTTAGCCTATTTGGATCATTAAGAATAAGAAAAGCTTGAGAGGTTGTTTTTTTTTTTTTTGGTACACCCTATGGTTTAATGTGAAATTTTTGTTCCCATAGTACAGTTTTAAATTATGTTTAAAATCTTATTCGAAATAATTTGAAAAACTCTTGTCATAAATCATAAAATAACATATAAATTATATTTTAAATAAAGTTTAAGAGAAAAAATACTAATTTTCAATACCATTAACTAAAAAATAAAAAAAATAACAGATACAAAATAAATAAAAAAACCTGAAAAAACCCAATAAAACCCAAAAAAAACCATTTAGACAGGTTTTTTTTTTTTAAAAAAAAAAAACAGTTTTTGCCAACCCTGGTTTAAACAGCACGGTAATAAATAAGTTTTCCTCTCTAGTTCCCAGCTTTTTTTACAGGAATCAGAATTCTATTTTTTGAGTCAAAAAAAAAAAAAGAAAAGGAAAATAAGTATTGGCATTTCAAGTGATTTGTTTGCAAATTTATTTGGAGAATTCTATTTAGCAAAGTTGATAACTACTAAAATACAGTTTCAAAAAATATTCCCTAGTTTGTCATAAATAGCAGCAAAATTTAGTATCTAATACTATCATTTTTTTAAAAAAACAGAACCTGAAATTGAAACATTGGTATTCAGTTTTTAGTCTTAAAGAAATTTTGTTGCAATTTGTTTTTTTTTCTGTTGTTTTTATAAAAACTCATTTAAGTTTTTTTTTTTATTTTAAAAAAAAATATTTATTTTATATATATATATATATATATATATATATATATATATATATATATATATAAATAGTATTGTGTACTAAGGTAAGCAATCTGACGTCATACTGAAATAGCCTGCTGCTGGGGGCTTCAGTACATACATCAACTGAAAAATAGCCTGATTCGCAGTGGATTGCTGCTACATCGACTGAGGGTTTGGGATGTGGCAGCAATCGTTTCTTTCATCATTCTTCGCTTATTTTCTTCTTTTTCTAAAAAAGCCGTATGGATAAAGGTAAGCAAAAAAAGTGAGCAAATGCTTATAAAAATACGCTTTAGTAAGTGTATGTATGTGTATATATATATATATATATATATATATATATATATATATATATATATATATATATATATATATATATATATATATATACATATATATATATATATATATATACATACATATATATATATATATATATATATATATATATATATATATATATATATATATATATATATATATATATATATATATATGTATATGTATATATATATATACATATATATATATATATATATATATATATATATATATATATATATATATATATATATATATATATATATATATATATATATATATATATATATGTATATATACACACACACAGTGCTTGTGATGAATTGGGAGCGATCATTCCCAACACATAAATCACGCTCATAAATGAACATCTGGATAGCGTTCACTAGTTTCGTTACGAGAGTAAAAAATCGCGCTCGTTTATTTGGTTGATCTATTAGCACTATTTGTCATGCCCAAAAGTTCATTTACGGGCATGGTATAAATTAAGGTATATAGTACAGATTTTATTGTCAAAATAAGGAATTTTCTAATATAAATCATAAAAATTTAATTAACTTTGCTGTCAACAAACTCATCAAAAGTCAAAAAAAAAAAGTAAGAAAAAATGAAGAATTTTCATATTTAAGTATAAAAATGGTTCCTAGCCCACTTTGTTTATAAAATAAACATTTTTAAACAATACCAGTTGCAAAAAATCTATTTTTCCCTTCAACTTTCAAATCTCTTCCTTTACTTTTCATTGATTTAATTTGGTCTTCATGCATGTCGCCCCAAACAACAGAAATATTAACAGCTGCTTTTTCAAATACAATACCTTTAAAATAAAAGAAAACAATTATAGTAATTATTAATTTTCTACTAATTTTTTCTTTTTAGTATTAGTAAATAAAACACTACTAAAAAAGCAGTAGCAACAGCAGCAGCAGGAGTAGTAGTAGTAGTAGTAGTAGTAGTAGTAGTAGTAGTAGTAGTAGTAGTAGTAGTAGTAGTAGTAGTAGTAGTAGTACAGTATAATTATAAATATATATTTATACATATACATATATAAACATATATTTATACTATAACGTATATAATGTAGTGGCACTCCCTTTCTATTTCTACCTAGTCATAAATAAAGTTATTGTAAAAAATATAAATATTTATAAAACTTTAATAATTATTTTAAAGTTATTTTGATTTTACAACAATTACTTTTCAATTCATCAACTGCAATTCAGACATAATTCAGTTAAGATTAAGTTGATTAATTGTGTTGCTAAGCAACACAAATAATACAAACAAATTTATGTGTGCTTTGCATGAAACAAATTAATGTCAAACTAAAAAAAAAAAAAACGGTCTGTGAGGACATTGACAGAAGGTTTGGGCAGGTACTAGATATTTTTTAGAGAACAAGCATAGTGCACTTTTGACTTCAATACCATACAATGCATTTTATTATTTTCAACCTTGTAGACTTTTAATGATTGGATTAACAGTAAACCATTGATAAGTGCATTAACAGTCAACATACTATTAAACCAGAATTGTATGTAAATATTTACAACAGATTGGTAAATCTTTAAATACCTTAGAATTCAAAATATGTCCGATGAAAATTGATTCATTCTCAACAAAAAGAAACAATAGTCAAAGTACATATTGCCTTAGTCATTCAGCAAGCTCTTTACATAACACCAGACATGCAAATGTTCAGTGGAGTGCTGGCCCCAGTGACTATGTAGGACTCCGCATGGGCCTTAAGCTTTTTATCAGAAGATAAATATGAGATTTTTCAGAATTATGAGATTTATCAGAAGATAAGTATTTTATTACAAGATAAATATAGAAGAGATAGAGCAAAAGATAGTATCTTCTAGAGATAGATACTAGCTTTTGCTCTATCTCTAGAAGATAAAACAGAAAATAGTATGAATCAAAATGAGGTTTGCCGTTTGACTAATTAAAGTTTCGTTGTTGGTTTTGTCAATCAAAATTCCATGTTATCACGTAAAAAATAATAAAAAAAATAAAAATTATACATTATTCTATATTCATTGATCTTTCGAAATATATAATGTTTTTGATCTGCAAGATCTGGAAATCCATATAGGATTTCCATATATAGATTATGGGGCATAGTCTCCAGTTTTTTGTAGAGTGTTGCTATTGATTTTCCACTACCAAGCTAATTTGTTGGAGCTCTGAAAGTTTTGGTATTTCTGTATTGCAGATGAATATACATGTTAAAGTTATTTTCAGAGCTTAAGACACCAGGGGGGGGGAGGAGGGCTGGGTTATGGGGCCCACTTGTTTGTAGCGGAATCTTGTAATAGACTTTTTACCTTCTAGACAAACTGGAACTCTGAAACTTTCAGCAAATGTGTAGTCTTGATGAACATGTGTTAAAGTTATTTCCAGAGCAGATGACAAGAGGGTCCATAAGACCGGGGCACTTTTTTTCAAAAAAAAAATTCTTTTGCATTTTCAATAAAGTAAAGGTAATTTTAAAAATATTGTCAAATAAATTTTTTTTTTGCTTTATAATAATTATACTTGCCCCGCAGTATAATTATACAGTCCCCGCCCTTAAAACAATTTTAACACATTCATTGGTGCTACAGAAATGTTTAAACTTTCAGAGCTCCAGCTAGCCTGGAAGGCAGTGAAAAATCAACTACAATATTTGCTAGAAAAAAGTGGGGACCATGCCCTGTTATCCGTATATGGAAATCCATATGATTGCAGATCAAAATCCTTATATTTTTTGAAAGATCAATGAATATAGAATGATGTGGATTCTACTAAAAGTAAAACAGTCATATTTCAGGATCTTCCTGAGATCGGCAATAATTTGCTGACCTCAATTTTTTAGAGGTCAGCATCAGGTCAGCAAAAAAAAATTGGATACAAAGGTTTTACCATAAAAAAAGAAACGAGATTAGCAACTTTTTGTCGACCTCAAACACTTTTAGTTCAGCAGTTATCAGCATTGCCGACCCTAATTCTAAGGGATGTAACTTATATGTCAAAAACTGATACACTCAACACAAAAATTAAAAAAAACCTCATAATTTGAAATTTGCTTACTTAATGTCCAAATTTGCCAACTTACATCCAAATTTGCTGACTAATAATTTATTAAGGTTTTTGTAAGGGTGTGAGAAACCTTTATGTACCCCTATTAACAGCCCTGTATGTTGCGCATAAATGGTTTTCAATTTTAGTGAGCATTGTGAAGGCCACATAACAAAATATCATAATTAATTTTTTTTTTTTAAGTTTATCATATTATCTATTATTAGGATTGCCAGACATCCAACTTTTACAAAGGAGAACACAGTATAAAAATTTATTTTTGCAGGTTTGGAGCTGTATTCTCCTATGTAAAAGCTGGAGGGCTGGCAACCCTATCTATTATGCTAAATACGAAGTTAATAGCTAAAACAAACGTGATGATTAGCCAGGTTATTTTTTTAAACCACTTTGCTTTAACACATTTAGAACTGGTAAGTATTAACAGTAACAACATGCAACTCAAAACAATTGCATTAGTAGTAGAAATAGTAATATGGTATTCGCAACATCAACACCTACTTAATCAAAAAATACTAGCTTAGTGCTTGAAAAAATTAATATAGAAAAACACTTTCTGCCTTTATCAAGTTTGTTATGTGTGGTATTTAAACAACATCGCACATTTCAAAAACTATATTTATTTTAATACTAATATTAATAGTACTAATAGCAATAATAATAACAATAATAATAATAATAATAATAATAATAATAATAATAATAATAATAATAACAAAAATGATTATGATAATTTTGCAGCTTATAAAAACTCTGTTAACTTTTAATAATTAAAACATATTCCTTGAACAATGAAGATAGATATGCAAACGTACCATCTTGTAAAACAATCGTAATTCCACCACCTCCTTGTTCTCTTTTCCACCTGTCGACTTTGAATTTTTTGGTAGGCTCAAATGATTGCAACTTATTCACAATTATTGACTGTAAATTTGTTACATAAAGTTCCATTTTAGACTTCATGTTGTTTTCTTCTTTTAGCTTTTCTAATGGTGATATCGTTTCAGCAGTAAAGTCATTTAGAGTAAACATTTGAATTTTATCCAAAAATTCATTCATGTCGTCCATGTTTTCTTTATTTTAAATTTTGGCTTTAAAATAATTTTAGGTGCCAAATTTTGTGAGTTTTCCCGAATCCACATTGGAGTTTCCCCTTTCTAAAAAAATGGCGCTAAGGGTAGAATGTGGAAGACATAAACTTGATAAAAGTTTGTTATATTCAAAACCATAATAAAATACATATATATGACACACTATTTTAAAATTTGGTTTGAGAATAAAAGTATCTTTAAAAGCCACATAAAAATAGCGATTCAATTTTTTTTTTTTTTTAAATGAAATTTTCAATTTTTATAAATCGAATTTTAAATGTCGCCGTTGAGTTTTCACTCATTTGTCTTTCGGAAGAAATATTCACGACAGCAGGCGTAGCTGTCCTTCGGATAATTTATCGCATGCCCACGTGGTTATTTTTCCGTTCTCTTTCCCGTCAAAAAACGGATGAGTGGAAACTTACCGTTATAAGAGGCAACTTAAAAGAGTGGGGTTTTTAGTAAATGTATGAAATTTTTTCACAGTTTTACGTTTCTCAACAATCGTCTTAGTGACAAGATATTTTGACATAAAACATAAAAAACGTCTAAAACAATCATTATAATCCCAAACGTTTCCACAAAACGCTTATTTCCAACTCTGTAAAGTTAATTAATTTTTCTGAAGTAGTCAAGTTCTTTTGGTCAAGGTTTTACTGACAAAATTGAAACACAGAGTTTTAGACATCTGTCTAACCAAGGTTTTTACAGAAATTATTTAAACTTTTACTTATCGGCTCACATTTAAATAACAAAGATTTATATCCGATTGTTTTAAATTTTTGTAATCTACAATTGGCTAACCATTTCCAATTTATTTTAAGTTTTGAATGCGCTTACGAAGAGTTTTAACTTCAATTTAAACATACTTATTTTACAGGGGCAAGTTAAAACGAATTACTAAACTAGTTTTCATAGGGTTTTGAAGTGCGCCATCCCAACGGGTATAAACATTCTTAAGACATCTACACAACTTCTTATAAGTGTCACAAATCCGTAGGACATTCTTGCGACACAAAATAGTGACTATGCCCATTATGTTGCTTTTTATATATATTATTATCTCTTAAATATTAGCGCATATGGTCAGAATAATAAATCCAATTATGTGTTTGTGAATGATAAATCAAATCATGTGTTTATCCAATTATGACTTGTTAAGTCTCGTCGTTTTTCTGTGACTGTTCCTAAGTGCTCCAAAAACTCTTATTAGTCAAGTTTTTTTCCTCAAAAATTATAATTTGCAGATTGCAATTATCTTACTATATAAACATCATATACATATATAAACATATATATACATATATTTTTAACAACAAGCCTCAATATATACTTCGATAAATCAATGTTTACAAATCTCTAGTTTTGTAAATATGTGCCGATTTCCACAAAAAGTACAAACATAAACGTTACTGTACCACACATATTTACAATTCATTAAAAATGCTAATATTGGTATTTTTAATAACTCGTAGTTTATAAAATATATCTCTAGCTAAAAAAGCATTTATTTAAAAAGTGTATAAAATTCCGTCGTACCACTGGGCTGAGAGGGACTTGCTCGCGGTTGTCGTTGAAAATATATAATCTGTATAATAATAAAAAGAATAAAAATAGCAAATTTAAAAGTATTGTTAACCATTTTTAATGCAAAATACATTGTTGTAGAGGATAACTCGTTAGAGACGAGAGAGTTTTAAATAATAATGTTTATACTTTTAAATAATAATATTATCCTTATTCAACACACTACACTAAGACAAAATCTGAAATTTACATTAAAAAAAGTAAACGCATCACTGCGTTTCTATTTTAATGTGACGTTCTAATATATATTGTATATAGTATTAAATGCACACTATTTTTAATAAAAAGCAAGTAATAAACTAAAACAGTCAATAAATGAATTAGCTAAAGAGTTCTAAGTATTCTGAGATAATATGCTAAATTATTATTATTTTCTATTTAAAAAAATTTCATTGTAAGTTATTCAAATATAAAAAGTAATAATAACTAAATTATTCCTTTCAATACGTCACAGCTGTATACCATCAACTAAACACAGTAAAAACCAGAGGCTTGGTTCTGATAAAAAAATTATGATAGTTATCACGTCGAGAAAATAAGTTTAAGCAGAATATAAAAAATTAAAATTTAAAGCTTTTGCGACAAAATTTAGTTTCCTTAGCAATCACACATGAAACGAACAACTTTTTATTTGTATTTTTATTTATAAACGAACAAGCAAATTTTTATTTGTATCTAAAATAAGTTTATCACATCCCGAATCTTCTAAAAAAACGCGAACCGCATCACGCAGCTAAACTCGATTAATTACAATTTCTAAGAATTACAACCCTACTTGAACATTATATATACTCAAATCCGAAATTATAGTTAATTCCGACAAGAGGAAAACGACAATACTCTAAGAAATTGTCATTTTTATTAACTTTATACAATATACATAGGTTCTAGATATATACAAATATACAAGTATTCTACAAACTAAAATAATTTTAATATGGTTTAGTAAAGCTAAACTTTAGTCCACTTCTTCAATAGTTGGTCCTCCAGAACTAGGTTTGTGCGAGCCACCCGACATACCACCAGGCATGGAGCCGTTCATGCCTCCAGGAACACCTCCAGCTTGATAGAGTTTTGTGATGATAGGATTGCATATCTTCTCAAGCTCTTTTTGTTTGTGTTCAAATTCTTCTTTCTCGGCAGTCTACACGAAGAAAAACAGAAAACGATAAATACAACAGAAAGTAATTATAATATAAAAAGGTACTGCAAATTAAGTTTGTTAAGATAAAAAATTATGGCGCAACCAACGCAAACAGTAAAAAAAATATAAAATAAACAAGAACGGATAACTTACTTGATTTCTATCTAGCCACTCTACTGTTTCGTTACAACCTTTAAGAATTGCTTTCTTATCTTCCTCGCTAATTTTGCCTTTAACTTTTTCGTCTTCAACAGTTTGCTTCATGTTATAGCAGTAGCTTTCCAAAGAGTTTTTTGCTTGAACTCTGTCTCGCTGAAGATCATCATCGGCTTTGTACTTTTCAGCTTCTTGAACCATTCTTTCAATGTCCTCTTTAGAAAGACGACCTTTATCGTTTGTGATTGTGATTTTATTTTCTTTACCGGTGCTCTTGTCCATCGCGGAAACATTTAAAATACCATTGGCATCGACGTCAAAAGTTACCTCAATTTGAGGGACTCCCCTAGGAGCAGGCGGAATTCCAGAAAGTTCAAACTTGCCAAGTAAGTTATTATGAGCTGTCATGCTTCTTTCGCCCTCAAAAACCTGAATCAGTACACCGGGTTGATTATCAGCGTACGTAGAAAACACTTGCGAATACTTTGTTGGAACAGTAGTATTTCTCTTAATTAACGGCGTAAACACCCCTCCGGCGGTTTCAATTCCAAGTGATAGCGGGGCAACATCAAGAAGTAAAAGATCCTGAACAGCTTCATGTTTATCGCCCGCCAAAATGGCTGCTTGAACGGCTGCACCGTAGGCTACAGCTTCGTCTGGATTAATCGATTTGTTGAGTTCTTTCCCGTTAAAAAACTCCTGGAGAAGACTTTGCACTTTTGGAATGCGAGTAGAACCGCCAACCAAAACAACCTCATGGATATCAGACTTGGAAAAGCTTTGACCGCTGCTGTTTTTTCCAGCATCTCTAATGGCATCAGCAACAGGGCCAAGAGTACATCTAAACAAATCAATGCATAACTCTTCAAAGCGTGCTCGAGTAATCGACGTGTAAAAATCAATGCCATCAAACAGCGAATCAATTTCAACGCTTGCTTGGGTACTTGCTGAAAGAGTCCTCTTCGCTCTTTCGCACGCTGTTCTAAGACGTCGAATAGCTCTCTTATTGCCAGAAATGTCTTTTTTATGCTTTCGCTTAAACTCCTCAACAAAATGGTTAACAAGACGATTGTCAAAATCTTCGCCACCAAGGTGAGTATCACCTGCAGTCGATTTTACTTCAAATATACCATCTTCTATGGCGAGTATAGAAACATCGAAAGTGCCACCACCCAAATCGAAAATAAGCACGTTTTTCTCTTTTCCCACTTTTTTATCGAGACCGTAAGCAATAGCAGCTGCAGTAGGTTCGTTAATAATGCGTAGAACATTTAATCCGGCAATAACTCCCGCGTCTTTTGTTGCTTGGCGTTGCGAATCGTTAAAGTAAGCTGGTACGGTAATTACGACATCTGTGACTTTCTTACCGAGGTAAGCATCTGCAATTTCTTTCATCTTTAGCAAAACCATAGACGATATCTCCTCCGGGTAAAAAGATTTTGTTTCTCCTTTGAATTCAACTTGAATCTTTGGTCTTGAACCTTCATCTATAACCTGTAAGAAAATTAGATAAAATACAATTGTGTTGAACGTTTTACTGCTTTTATTTACTGCTTTTATTTACGTTTTACTTTTTTATTTTTTTTATAACCATGTAAAAACAATAAAATTAATAACTCACATTGAAAGGCCAATGCTTTCTATCTGAAGTAACCGATGGATCGTTGAACTTCCTTCCAATCAATCGTTTTGCATCTAAAAGCAAAGGTAAATGTCATTTCATGTATTGCTTTTTATGCTATTGCTTCACATTTCATGTAAAATAATTAAAGTTTATTTACTCATCTAAAAGAAAATCAACAAAATTAGTATAAGTCTTACCAAACACTGTGTTGGAAGGGTTCATGGCAACTTGGTTCTTTGCCGCATCTCCAATTAATCTTTCAGTGTCGGTAAAAGCGACATAACTTGGAGTTGTACGATTCCCTTGCTCGTTTGCAATTATTTCAACTTTCCCATGTTGAAAAACTCCAACACAAGAATATGTTGTTCCAAGATCGATTCCGATCGCTGGTGCTTTTGACATTTCTTTTTTAAAGTTAGATTGAATCCCTCTGCTTTTTAACTCGTCAAGCAATTTTTATCGATTTTTTGAACTTGATGTCAGTGCTTTAAAGTTCTCAATTTATACTATTACTAGATCGGAAAGCTTAAACTTTTATTTTTTATAATACGGGGGTACAAATTAAAGCAAATACTATTGCATTATAATAAAATAATTTAATTAGTAAAATTAAAAACTATCAAAAAACATTTAAAATAAAAATAAAATAGTAAAAAAATGTTTTTTAGTAATGTAATTAAAATTAAAAATTAATAAAGTAGCAACAAAATACAATTTTAGTTTCCCTGTTAAGAAGTTATTCTGGATTTTTCTAGTTTGAGTTCGAACAATCTACAAACAAAGTCAACTTGTTTTAGTTGTTGGTTTCGTGTTACTTTTGTGTAAAGTTTGTGCCAGATTTTGTATTCTTATCGTACATGGAAGTATTAAATAAAATTGGTTTCATAAATATCGTAATCTAGTCGTTTTTAAGTATTTTGTTAAAAAGTAGATGTTGGGTTGGTGATAATACATAAGTTTGTATTGTGCTTAGAACATTTTAATTATTAGAACCTAATTTCTTATTATATCTATATATTTAATGTAATATTACTATATAGTATGTCTTTTTCATAAAACATTGGTTTTTTATAAGACGTTTGTCTTTAATAGTATAAAAAAGCAAGACACTTTGTTTTCCTAATTTCTTTAGCAATGAGTTATGCATTCATGGTCCAATAAATAGACAATCTTGTCAGTGACAAAAATAATATATTACAATACTATTTTTGTCATAGGACAATGAAAATAGTATGAAACTATTTCTAAGCAGATTTCTTTTAAAAGTAGGAAGTTAACAGTCGAAAAACAATAATAAAAAAATACATATATGCACACACATGAACACACACACACACACACACACACACACACACACACACACACACACACACACACACACGCACACACACACACACACATATATATACACTTATGTATATATATATATATATATATATATATATATATATATATATATATATATATATATAAATGTTCAACTAAATGAACCATGCACATTACAATTTTATGTTTCTTTTATTTTTAAACTCTGTACTAACAATATTAAGTTAAAGCAATATGTACTGTAAAAATAATATTAACACTAGAGGTTTTAATACGAAGTGAAAATCAAAAATTTATTGTTTAAATTTGCCATCAGCCATATGAGTAGTTGTCTATTAAAACGCCCTCTTTCTATTTCAACAAAGATAGGCAACATAGATGATGATCTACAGTTTAGAAATTTCAAAAAAAAAAAACAAAAAACTTTCAAGTATTCACAAAGCAGTCTCATTCAAATAAGTATATTAGTTTATCAGTTTAGAAAATAATTCATAACTTTTTTTTTTTATTAGTTTCATGCATTTTATTTAATCATCATTGTTTTATCAGTTGTTAGTTAAGTAGCTGTATGATTTGTATTCCAAGTAAATTGTGGTAAGTATAAATACTCAATGCCACAAGGTTGTCTCCATTTTAAATGTTGTCTGCTTGATTGGTTTAAACAGAATTTTTGTTTGATTATATGATTTTGTTATGATTATATGTTCATTTATATGATTTCTGATTTTCTGATCAAAAAAACGTGAATTTTTAATTTTATCCAACCAATCAAAATGGTCTAACTAATAAAAGATCAGTTTAAATAGAAATTAGGTTTTACGATGTTTAAAATAAATAAACCTACTTATTTTGTATAGATAATCTTACTTTTATGTTAACTTTGATGTTTTATTTTTCATTTTATGTGTTATTTTTTCTTACATTCTAATATTCAGTATTTAGAGAGTTTTTTGGGTATTCAAAGTTAGTTGTAGTTGAAAATTGCTGCAAATCTAACGATCAATCGCTATTAATAAACTTTTTCATTATGTCTGTATTGTTTTTTATTCTATTGTAATTTTATAATTATTTATATTATAGAAGGGAAAAAGCAAAAAAAGTTCTTTAATTGTATTTGTTTCTTAAATTGATAAAATTTGTTTATTAACTGATTTTGTGAATAAAAACATTTACAGATGCAGACTAGTTGTTAAACAGCAGTATAAAGCAATATAAATCAATATAGTTTTTTTTCTTTTTCTTTATTAAACTATTTTCTTTAATAAACTTTGCAGCAGTATTTTATTTTAGTGTGAACACTGTTGAGTCATGGTTTTAATTTAGTAAATTTCAAGATTTGAAATTTACTCAATTGATCATTAGCCAACAGTTGAGAAAAGGAAAATTGACTTTAACACCAACAAGGCAAATATCACGCAAATGTATCTTCATGGTTTTATTTTTTTTTTTATGTTTGTTCTATTTTATGTTGTATTTGTAACTAGTAAACTTGAAAAACATTTAGAGATTTTTTTTTTTTTTTGCTCATGCAGATTTGTTTTTTGCAGTAAGGCAGACCTATTTAAAGACAAACTATATAGGGAATTTCTTTTCATTTTGCAATAACTTTAAACTTGTATGACTTTTTAATTTCACACCAACCAATGCAGCAACAATGTTTGTATTTTTATGTATATATTTATACATACAACAATACAACAATTTTATGTATATATTATATACACAACAATGTATATATTTTAAAAAGATGGTGTAAATTTTTAAAGTATATTACAAAAATAACCATTTTTTCATGCCATTAAATTTATATTTTTAAATCTAAGATTTAAAATTAAATATTTTAGATTTAATGCAAAGTGAAGTTTATTAAGGACCATTTTTTCCCCGATAAAACGTCTTCAATTAGTTTTTATATAAAGTTTCTCATGCCATTAAATTTATATTTTTAAATCTAAGATTTAAATTTAAATATTTTAGATTTAATGCAAAGTGAAGTTTATTAAGGACCATTTTTTCCCCGATAAAACGTCTTCAATTAGTTTTGATATAAAGTTAATTGTTTTAAAATAGCTTATAAATAAAATAAGGCAGAAGCTACTATTTATCAAACAATCTCGCTACAGAGATCTAATGTTAACTATTTAACGGTTCTTAAGGAAAAATCAAACAGGCTTCCCACATGTCCTGAAATTCCTTAAATTCCTGATTTTTAAAATCTGTCCTCCAATGTCTTGATTATCGTAACTTATCTTCGATATCCTGAAATTTTATGTCACCTTTTTTAAGATACTAATATACTATGTGTAAGAATGGGGCGAATTAATTGATTGCGTACTGCAATATCAGGAAACAAATTTGGTCTGCAATTTCTCAGTTTTATCACTCATTAAAAGCCATGAACACAAAGGTTCAATTTATAATATTTGGAAAAGAGGTTAGGTGTATAACTTTCAAGTTTTCGCCCTTTTTGGTTTAAGTTTAAATAAATTTCTAAAATTACTAAAAAACTATTCCGACTATAATGCGTACGATTAGTTAATTAATAATTATTTATATAAAGTAAATAATTCTTATAATTAATTAACCACCTATTTAATAATAAAAATTAAAAAAAATCTCCCCGTTTTCTAAGACATTAGACTTAATCGACGGTTTTGTTAACTTGATGTCAGTAAAGGAGGAGAGTTCCCAACGGGCATATAAAAATGTTGTTTGTTTAGAATTAAAAAGTACCAAAATGAAAAGAGTTTAGAATAAACAGTTTGAAATAAATTTTTTTCAAGGTTAAGCTAAAAATGAGAGAAATAACTTTACGGGAATATAGATGCTGATGTTGTTTCAAAAGATTGGATAAAATCAAAAATAAGCGTGGAATATTTAGAGTTTTTTTAAGAAACAAAGTTGAGGTTCCTAAATGAAATACGAAAAAAATCAACAAAAACAAAAATACTATTGAGCTTGGAACACATTGCTGTGCTGCTTGTATTGAAAGTGCACGGAGAAAGGAGAATAAGGAAATAAATTCACCGTTAAGTGGGTTTATAGAGACTCAGTCGTTTGATTTTCAAACAGAGAATCTTGAGTTGCCTGAACAGTTTGAAACAAATCAAACATCAGATTTTCCACTGATTATTGAAGAAAATGAACTAAAGTCTTCAAAAAGTTTTCTAGTTGAGTTTAAAAACGAATTAGTAGAGCTAAAAAAAAAGGTAGAAGCGAAAAAAAATGCACCAATTTTGGTGGATGATATACTTCGACCAGCTGTTTCTCATCTCTATTGCTTCGTATGCCACATTAATAACTTTTCAAAAAATTTAAAATTCTTTTTAGGGCAAGGTATTATTGACGCTTATGTACAAAAACAGATTTTGTATACCCACTGGATCAAGATGTTGTAAAGAGCATTTGCGTGGTGCAGTGGTAGCATACTTGCCTCAGAAACGTAAGATCCGTGGTTCAAACCCCGCCTTTGGGCAAGTTTTGCGACATCGGTTGGGAAGGAGGCGTGAACTTCCTATTAAATGCTTTTCCGCGGTGCTCTGTGATAAGACCGTAAGGACTTCTTGGAGCACCTAAAATCAACATAAAAAAAAATAATAATAATAATAATAAAGTTGGATTATTAAACAATGAAGCTTTAAATCAGCTGGTTGTTGTTAAAAAGAATGTGAAACTAAATGCATCAGAAGTTAAATCTTTATTAGAGATATTTCGATACTACGCTCAGCATAGCAGCTTTTTTTCAATGTTTTCTGATATTTCAAAACTACCCAAATCTATTTGCCAACGAGCTACTGGATTCAATAGACAACAATTTGAAGACCTAAGCGGAGATTTGATTTCACTCAGAAACGCCAGTATTCACTCAGAAACGCCAGTATCTAAATTTTATGTTTCTAGCCGTCTTTCTGTTTTGGTTAAAAACTGGACTTGATCAATACACGATCGCTGATTATTTTGGGATTGACTCTCATTTTGAAGTATACCGATATTTGCAACAAGTTAGAAACGCCTTTGTCAAAGATTTCATCCCTAACAACTTAGGAGCAGGTCAATTAACAAAAGATCAATGGTTAGCAAATAAGAGCGAATCAGCCAAAGAAATCTTTAATGCTAAAGAATCTCAGTTGATATTAGTTGTTGACGGAACTTACTGTTATTATCA